TTTTCACCATATACAGACCCATTGGATTCACAGTTGCCCGTCTTACCCCAAACTCAATGTAAGAAGTTCAGCACGATTTTTCTCTGTGAACAATTTGATGCAGACAAAGCAAATCCGCGGTAAATGAACACTGGTGGTATATGAGTGTACCACAAGTGATTGCCAGTTTTTAACTCTATAGTGCTGCACACAAAAGCTTGCACAATACATTATGGGTGTTTTCAATGAAATGAGTGTTTTAAAGAAATCAAAATAAAAGATTATCGACTGAACACAAATTCACCAGACTTGAATGGTGGTGTGTAGTGGGAAAGGCAATTCTGGTCCTAATTTTTCTCGCTCGTAGCGCTATTGGTTTGGTCTGCAGAAGGGGTGCCCGTCTTACCTACCCTGACCGTCTTACCCCACTTTCCCCTATTCCCTTCTCCCAGTACAGTCAGATAATATCAATACAGTATTCATACGGATTATTCAAGCCCTGTATAATTATTTGAGGTGTGCCGAATCCGAAAGGCGACCGATAAAACTACTAGCGGAAAATGTGACACGATGCCATGGGTTTGTGAAAAGTTTAGGTACCACGTAGCATTCAACTTCCTGCATTTCTGTTTCAACTCAGTTTAACGTATTTCAACGAACATAACATCAAAAATGGCAGCCAGTACCGGCTTCACCTGTCACGGAGAACGCTCAATTAATTGAGTGTAGATGCTGGCCGGCACTCAATTTTTTGAGCGCCAGCTGACTGTCGTCTGTCGTGGCGCTCAATTTATTGAGTATCGCGGTCCCGAACGACAAGTGGCGCTCAAAAAGTTGAGCGTCTTTAGGGCATATTCTTTCCAAATACACCGATATAAATTATCACGGCGAGTGTTCTAGAAGAAACCTTGTTGCTCTCTCTTGCCATTGATACCTTATTTGGATACGATATTTGCCGTAGTGTGACGCTAAAGGCATTGTAAAATACCATCGTTTCGCCTATTCCTTCATAATGGGGCCCGCTCAATTTTTTGAGCGCTCAATAATTTGAGCTTTTCCCCCTTGTGCGTGGGACTGATTTGAAGCTTTAACACTAGGGAGAATAGGGCTCCGTGGCTTTCATCAGTCGATGAGGAGCTAGTGTTGAGTGAACGGGGAGCCACTGACTCTTCTACTATTGGCGGCTCACTGTATTAACGACTAGTGTTAGAACACGAATACTGGTCTTTATTATAGTAAGGCCTCGTGCAAGGCTGCATCTCGTGCAGGTCGCGGTTCAGAGTGAGGTCTGCATATTTTTGTACATTTTTGGGTATACTTTTTGTTGTATGTCTTATTTATTTCTTGTATGTTCGTTGCGAGGTGAAGGTGCTCTTCTTCTCTCCAGTATGTACATACATCAGGGTAGCAATATCATTGGTCGCATAGATACTGCGTACTGGTATCTCAATCTGATTCTAATATGTTGATGTAGACATAAGCATGACTAGTTTTGATTTTTGATACATCACTGAAGCAGCTCATGATTTTAAAATGTATTTGCCCACCATCCTAGTATATTTATTGCATTAGTTACTAAATCTTTGCTTAATTATTGAATGTTTCTGTGTTTTTTCTAGTGTTAGACTCAAATTTGAAAATAAGATAGTCTATTTATGTAAGCCATCATATCTTTTCAGAAATTTTGTGACAGAAGTCAATGTTAGACTTATAATGCCTTTGGTGCTTGAGTTCCGAGCTCGATACAACATCAGCAGAGATATATCAAATGATGAAAAATATGACTGACCCTTTGCTAGTGAGGAAGATGATAACATTTCCTCTATTGGTAAGTCAAAATTATAATTTATATACCCTACCTTTCTGACTGTCATCAGCCGACTAAGACAAAATTAGGAAGTCATCTACATCCATTTTGTGTTTTTGAGGCGAGCTTATGTCCCACAATGAGGCTTTAACAGTGAGCTAAAAAAGCTGATGTTTAAACTGATGCCAAAGAGAACGTCTCCGCTGCTTTTTCCAACTCATTCTGTGAGGAGCCACTTTTCATCTAAGAAAATTTGGTCAGAGCCACCAAAACCATTTTTACCAGCCCTGTTTGTACTACATGCGTCTTCGAAGCTGCATTTCCTACTCATTATGCTACCGTTTGTCTCACGTTTGTCCTACAGACGTGATGTCCGGGCAGACTGTTCTCTGTTGCTTGTCTGTAGGAAAAAAAAACATTTGGCGATGCTGAATGATGCAGAAACTATAAAAAACTACAAATGAAAATAAGAATAAAAGCAGTAAAATATTTGATTTTATTATTGTCTTCGTTAGATATATTTATTTTTATTCGGTCTACCAAACTGTCAGTTCCGACTCTTCTTTGATCTTAGCAATAAATAGTCCTTTACTTGGCATGAAAAAACACCATGCACGTATTCTTTTTTTCAGTTATATATTTCACGGTCTTGCTATATGTTATCGATACTTTTTGTATTGAATGTACTTGTCCGAACATTTTTGTTTATTTTGCCGTAGACATTGCTACCGCTCTGTCTGTATGACAAGGTGCTTTTGTGAAACGGGTTTAGGCTAACTTTTCGTTAGCCTAAACCCGCCCAGCCAATAATTAACTTGGGCTGAGGTTGGGCTGGGGGGATTTCACTTGGGCTAAGCCCGAGTTGGCCCAACCTTTGTTTCTTTAGAGTGTGATTTGGGTTGGGCTGAGCCCAACCTAAATACGCGACTCGGGCAGAGTTTGGGCAGGCCCATGTAGAATCCGAAACTTGGGCCCAAGTCGGACAGCATCTGGGCATGCCACAACCCAATCCGGACTGTAACTCGGGCTGAATTCGGGCATGCCCAAGTAGGATCCCTTACACGGGCTGAGCCCGGATATTGCATGGGCACTGGGCGAACCCCCCGCATCAGCGACGATGCCTTGGAACGCGGGCGGGTGCTGCCACCTGCCGTGCGGGTGGCAGCTAGAGGATGTGCCGGCGACCGACAGAGGATGTGCGTGTCGCCTCTAAATATATGAACCCAAATTAAGTTGAATAACTTTAACCCTATTAGTGGCAGGGGGGGGTTGTTTTTATCCACCCCTCAGGTTTTTCGGGAATATCTCCGAAACCGCTCAAGCTACGATGCTGAAATTTTCTGACTTTTCCTAAAACTAAATTGGGCACATTCCCTGAAAATTTCAAGTTCATAACTTTACCAGGGGCGGCTCCAGAGCACTGGGAATTGGGGGGTCCTATTCGTGAAGCGAGTCATTTGGGCGAAGATCACGATGCTGCACCAGTTTTACGAACAGTGAATGAAAGGTATCATGTGATAACATATACAGTTATTGTGCATCCTCTTTTGACACGTTTTTGCTATAATAGGCGGATCCAGGCGTCCAAAAAGGGGGGTTATGTTTTACCTCCCAACATAGGTGCCCTGACACCGCCTATGCATGACCAATACAATTGTAGTCGTTCTCTCATAAGAAAATTGTAACATAACAAGACCATGACCACCCTTTTTAGAAACAGTACCAACAAAAACCTTATTTACTATACTTTTTGTGTACCCCCAATCTCAATGATCTGTATCCGCCTATGATTTTTGAAAATGCATATTTTTAGGATCCATGTGAATTCCTGGTTCATTCTCTATCGATCGGCAAAAGTTGCGTTAAGATTGGTTCAGAAACTTGGCCGTGATAAACAGTCTAAAATGTATCTGCAATTTGCCCGTTTTTACCCCCCTCTACCCCCCCTATTGACATTTTTTAATTTTTATTTTTTAGAAATGTAGATCACGTTGACCGAAATCGAATGCCGTTTGAATTTTGAAAATCGGCCCGTTAGATCTCGAGATATCAAGGGGGGGTCGTAAACAGCCCCCCCCCTGCCACTAATAGGGGTAGCCAGGAGCCTGCCACTAATAGGGTTAATAAGAAGGGTGGTAAAGCCACAATTTCAATGGCGATTGTGGGAGAATAGCTAAATGATCCAACACAGTCATTTGTATTCACCCTTTTCAGTCAGTATCAAGCCCCAGCGGTCGCACCGCCGTAAAACTCAGTAAAAATCGAAAGCGAAACACCGTACAGAATATTCCATTATAAGCAGCCGCCGGCTCTTGATGTGACTATTCGCGTTATCAAAACAAAGTAGGTAGGCCGCACGATAAGCAATCTAACGACGACAGATGTAGGTAGGATAGATACGATATAGCGATTGTATAGGTAGATCTTCGTAGGAACGTAGGAAGAATGAAGGAATAAGGAATGATTAAGAATATAAATAATAGCCTTAGCAATGAGCGAAATGGAATGGTTCAACTACAATACCACTCCAAATCACTTATTACCATTAATTATATTTCATTGCTTCTTCAGTCGTACCTATGTGGCTTCGAACGTCACAAAATAACAAGTTTGTCGCGGTATTCGATCAACACGGAACGAACACCAATCGATTCCAAATTTTCTCTGATCATTTTATGGCCTAAGTGACTCGGAGGTATGATCACACGAACACTGCATCCGCCCATGGCAGGTGGAAATAATGGATCGGGACCCAACCGGCTTTGGCCTGGGCTTGCCCGAGTTATAAACCGGACTAGCCCACATGGGGCCACAGGTTAGCGCACTAGTGCAGCCGATGGCATAACTCGGGCTCAGCCCATGCGAGGTCCCCGTAACCCGGAAATGACTTGGGCTTGCCCGACCGGGGTCCGACCGGCAGCGCTGCTGCGTACTCGGGCAAGCCCACGTGGGGCCACAAGTTAGCGCAATAGTTAAACCAACGGGAGGACGTGGGCTCAGCCCAACTTGAAGCCCATAACCCGGACTTGGCTCGGGCATGTCGTAGTGGGGCCCGACTGGGCAAAACTCGGAATTGCGTTGGGCTAGGTGTGTCAAAAACCAAGCAAGATCCCAGTCTGGACCGGGGCTAGCCCAAGTACCGTACTCGGGCTGGTCCGGCTTCAGCCCAATTGGGCCCCAATCAGAATTGTTCGCTGGGCGATTTTCAATTTATTTTAATTTACCCTAACTTTTTGGATAGCATAAATTAAAACTAGTGTATTTTGATAGGAACAGCCCAGATCCGAGTTTATACTAACTTTGGAGCACGTTAGCCTAAACCAGATTTACCCTAACCCGGCCAATTAAACGATTCTGTTAGTTCATATTTTATCCACCAGAGTTTGCTTCATACTCAAAGGCCTTCCTCGTCCAGTAAAAGATCTGGCAGCGATGTGCCACGTCGATTTGGAAGCACGACTGAGATACAATTTCGGCGCAGCTGTTTGCACGCCGGAATATCTTTGAGCGTTATTTGTTGTTGCACGTGCAGTTTCAAGGATGGTTGTCGTTGTGTGTCTACTGTCTACAACAGGTAAGCTAAATATTGTTCTCCCTAATATATGATAGATCAGGTTCAGTAAACAGCCAGAAGAACTCCACCCACCCATATTGTTGTCACTTGTCTCCTTGTTTTGTTTTGTTTTTCCACCTACCTTCTTGCAAAAATTGCCTGTAGGTAGCTTGTGCCTGCCATGACATGACTAGAGTCCATACCGGTATCCCTTTTTGCTTTATCTTGGCGGCTATATAGTTGTGTGAAGATGGTGGATACTAGGCTCATGTGTTGTTAATTGTTACATCACTTTTCATTTTGAAATGAAGGAGCAGGACATCCTTACAATTGTAAAACTAACCATACTTTGTTGGAAGCTGTTCTGTTTGGTTGTGCATCAGTTGGGTAAAGGACGAGGCACAGATCAAAATATTGATCGACTAATGAAAGGTTGGAGTGGGCAGGGCCATGACCATGTAACGAAAAAAGGGACGTGATTTCGTGCATTCTAGCTTTCAAATGAAAAAATAAGACATTAGCAAGTTGTGATTCACACAAGGCCTGTACTCACTCAGCGCACAATAACTGGCGGTCCTAATGAAGTAAGTTGTGACTCAAGGCCAACCGACGTTTGACGGCAATTGCTGATCGAAAGAAACGTGCCAGAAAAAGTGAGTAAGTAAGAGATGGTAAATAGTTATTATTTGTATTATTTTAATATGTGAGATGGTGCTTTTTGCCATGATGAATAGATATAAGCATGCAAAAATGATCAATAACATGGCAGAAATGTAAAACTTTTATTGTAACATAGGCCAAATATGAGAATGAGCTTTCGCTTTACAGCATCATCAGATTCATTATTTGAGTCTGATGAATCAAATAATGAATCTGATGATGCTGTAAAGCGAAAGCTCATTCTCATATTTGGCCTATTTTACAATAAAAGTTTTACATTTCTGCCATGTTTTTGATCATTTTTGCATATTTATATTTATTTGTATTAATTTGTTTACAATATTGTCAATTATAACGAAATTAATTATTATTCAATAGTTACTATTTTGTATTTATTGTTTTAATAATAAACTTCTAAACTTTTTTCATAGTGCCGACTGCCGATCCATTTATGGAATGGTCAGCTGATTGTCTACCAAAGTGGACGCCCAGAACCTGCAAAAAATATTGTCATTTTCGGGTGAATGTGCGCACTATCGTCAAGTATTACTCGTTAACTATCAATCCTTTGGTAAATGGAAGCTTTTTCTCTTCAGTGGGTGTACTCAATACTGCAAGTATTGTCCCGTTACACTGAATGCACCCCGTCATAGCGGGGGCTGCATTTATGCCCATATATGGTCATAGGTACAAGATCCATTTATTGATCAATCAATGTTTTGATTTCTGCCTCATAGTTTCCCCAATTGGCATGCTTCTTGTAAAACACTGATTGGCAGTGCTGCTAGCAGGTGGCAAAGAAAAATGATGAAGCTAACCACACACACAAAAAAAAATACAGTCAAAATAATGACTGTTTTTATGCAAAGCATGCTAAAAGACAATCAGGAAATTGATTTTTTATGGAGGCAATCTGGTGTCAGAATCAAACTATTGATTCCACAAACATTAGTTTGTGTTTTGTTTTTGATAGTTTGGCTATTAACAAAATTGCATAGGCGTAGGAACAGGAGGGGCCAGGTGGGCAAGTGCCCACCTACTTTTTGAGGTGGGGGCCGGGGGCTACAGGGCCTCCTGTAAGGAATTTCACTGGGGGGGGGGGGGGGCAGAGGCTCAAGGAGCCAAACCTAGGGTTCCCTCAAATCCTGTTTTCTCATCGGATTTAGGCCACTTATTTTTAGTCATAGCCCTGACACGATGATCATTTCTTAACTAAGAAAAATAAAAATAGTAGCCTATCTTATCCATGCTTTGATATTTATTTGTAACCCTTTCACATTGCCCGACCAGGTGGTTACAAAAATGAAATACAAAGGAAATACAAACCTCCCAATTTTAATGCTATCTTGCTCAAAATTTTGCGCTGGACCTGAATCCCCTTTCAGCATTTGGGGCCTGGGGGTAGGTCTGGTCAGGTAAGTTCAGGTCAACCAGTGTCCAGTAGCTAGCCTAGGTGTCATGCCAGGTAGCCAAAGTAGGTGTCAGTCACCACTGAAAGGGAGCTTCGTATTATGGGAAGCTTCGTAACATATTTTTTGGCACCAAAACCTCTCCTGAAAATGGATCCTAAATTCGACATCTGCAAAAAGGACACTAATACATGTTGAAACTTGAAAAGGTGAAGCAAGGTCATCTAAGCTCAGTAACCTTGACCACCTGACCCTAATGCGACCCTGACACCTACCATAAGGCATGGTATTACAATCATCCCACAAGTTGGCGCGTTTTTAAGACACAAATAGTCTGAAAACGCGTAGATAATGTGCGCTAACGCCTAACACGCAGAATCGCGTTTCCGCCATGCCATGGTCTCGAGAAACACGCCATAGGTCAAGGGTCATGGGGTTCGGGGTCATATAATTGTCATGATGTGTGTAATTTTGATTAGCTCGTGAATGCGAAAAGTTTCGCCGCGATCGGCCACCTTTTACGAGTTTTTTTTTTAACTGAGGGGCATGGGTGGGTCTATCCGACCTCCCAATAAGCGCGACGTTCAATTTCTCTCAAACACTCGGGGTATATTTTAACAAACTGACTGCGTCCCATTTGGGGACGCAGCCCCCTGCCTTTGGGACGTAGCCCTCGCGAAATTTGAACTACTGCGTCCCACACTGAAATGACAGGGTGTCAGCGGAAAAGTGCTAGCAAAAATAAGTAACATGCCTCGGTCTTTTACTGTGTAACATATGTTGCTTTTCGATTGCTCTGTGCCCTGATTTACTATGTACCTAAGCACAAACATACCCTCTCCATTCCTTGTGCCTTGCCCTATCCTGAAGTTGTACACCTTGTTATATCCTCCCCTACTATACCTACCCCTAGGGTATGTGCCCTGCCCAGTGTCCTGTCCTTACGTCTTGTACCTTGCCCTGCCCGTCCTTCAGGCCCTGTGCCCCGTCCTGTCCTGCCCTCAAATCCGATACCTTATGTACTCTGCCTTGAAGTTGTATGCGCTGTCTTCACATCTTTACGCCCGTGCCCTGCCCTACCCTAGTTTGAGGCCCTGTGCCCTTCTCTGCCCTCAAGCCTTGTACACTTGTCCTGCCATCAGACCCCGTGCCCTGCCTTGCCCTCAGGTGATGTGCCCTGTCCTGCCATCAGGTTTTGTGCCTTCCCATGCCCTCATGCCCCGGCCCAGCGTCCTTCCTCAAGCCTGATGCCTTGCCCTGCCTCAGGCCCTGTCCTGTCATGTTCTGCTACCAGGCCCCATGTGCAACGTGCATGCCCTGCCCTCAGACCCTGTCCTATTCTGCCATTAAGCCTTGTGCATTGTCTTGCCCTCAGACCCCGCCCTCGCACTAAGCTGCTGTGCTCTGCCCTGTCATCAGGCCTTGTGCTGTCCCATGCCATCAGCCCTGTGTCCTACTCTGCCCTCAAGCCTTGCACACTGCATTTCCCTAAGGTCTCGTGTCCCACTGCTCTCAGGCGCTGTGCCCTGCCCTGCGATCAGGCCTTGTGGTGTCCCCCGTCCTCAGGTCCCGTGCCGTCTCCCGTCTTCATGCCCTTACCTGCCCTCACGACCTGTGCTTTGCTCTGCCCTCATGCCCTGAGCCTTGTCTTGCCCTCAGGCCCTATACCCTGTCTTGCCATACCTTCAGGCCTTGTGCCCTACCTGTGTCATTACGTCTTGCTCTGCCCTTAGGTACTGTTTCTTGCCCTGCTCTAAGATCCTGTGTGTGTGTTGCCCTGCCATCAGGTGTGGTGTTCATCAGGTGTTCTAAGGCCCTGAATCTTGCACTACTCTCCAGCCTTGTGTAATGACAGCCTCAGACCCGCGCCTTGCCTTGCCCTCGGACTCTGCAACCTACCCAGTCCTCAAGTGCCTCATGTGTCTTATCTTAGCCTCATAGCCAGTGCCTGCCCTGTCCTTAACATGCTAGAGGGGGCCCTGGGGGCCAACCAGATGTTTTGCCGCCCCCCCCCCCCCACACACACACTTTTTACTCGGAACCCTCTCGTCTCGAGTTGAGAGGACGTTGTAACGTTCCAGAATAAACAAACTCAGTATAAATAAGTTCCACGTATCTCCACGCACGGACTCCAAGGGACCCTTGTTGATCCAAGGAGGCCCTTTATCCATACTCGTCAGCGGAGGCCCCTGAGACTGATGGCCTGAGAGGCGCTAGTGGATCTGAGGAGGCCGGAGGCCCCAATATCCAAACTGGTCTGGGAAGGCCCCTGACACTGGCGGTCTGAGAGGCCCGTCTATCCACACTAGTCAGAGGATGTCCCTGAGACTGGTGGTCTGGGAGGGCTCTCAATTTACACTAGTCAGAATAGGCCCCTGACACTGGCGGTCTGGGAGGCCCTCTACCCTCATTAGTCAGAGAAGGTCCCTCTATCCTCAATAGTCAGAAGAGGCCTCTGAGACTGATGGTCAGAGAGGTCCTTGTGAATCTGGGGAGGCCCCTCTCCACATTGTTCTAGGGAGGCCCCCGAGACTGATGGTCTGAGGGGCCCTTTTATTTATATTGGCCACAGGAGCCCCCTGACATTATTGGTCTAGAGGCTCTCCTGTTTATACTCACCATAGGAGGCCCCTGGGATTGATAGTCTAACAGGCCCTTCTATTTATACTAGCCAGAGGAGGCACCTGAGACTGGTGGTTGGAGAGGTCCTACTATTCGTAATAGGTAGAGGAGGCCCCTGAAGTTGAGGGTATCAGAGCCCTTCCTATTCATACTAGCCAAGAGAAGACCATGAAATTAATTATCTGAGAGGCTGATCTATTCATACTAGCCAGAGAAAGCCCCTGGGATTAACCCTCGCCCGCACATGCCATTTTCCCATCCTAGAACGCACATGGGGGGGGGGGGGGGGTTGCCATGCCACCCCTCGCGCCATTTCGTTCCTGTTGGAGA